ATGTTTCTATTGAATGCTCTATCAAACATAAATAACAAAAAAAATTTTCACACCAAAAACATTCATGCAAATGTATATGTTTCTTTAAACAATCTTGACATGTTACAAACTGTTCTTTAAATTTATCAAATCTTTGCAATTCTTTTTTAGTTAACGAACCGTACAATAAAACATGTTCATCTACTTTGTTTTTCAACTCTTCCGCATTTGCCCATATTATTTCATAATTTGATTTTTTTCTTTTTTGATTATCCTTTAGTGAATGAATCAATTTATCTGAATGACGTTTTTTACCATTTCTTTTTTCTTCCTTGATTTTAATTAACAAAGATGCTACAGCTGGAGATACTGTTTCATCATCATCTAACATCTCGACACATTCATTTTTAAGCAGAGTTATCTTACAAAATTTTTTCATCCATTCATTAGATTGTTTAGCATCTAACGGTATACCATCACAAATAACTCTAAACTTTACTCCTTTATTTTCTTCTTCGTTTTTTTTTGGTATTTCCAAACCAAAGAGTTCATGTAATGCATATTTACACGAATTTTTGTTTTCTTCCTCCTTCTCTTTTCTTATAAGCTCAAAAAGTTTTGTATCCATTTCTTATTGCTTAGCTTCTTGATATCTCGATTGATGAGTTCTTAAAAAATCTTACTCCTTTTCTCTATTGTTTAAAAAAACATATATAAAGCAATGTTTTTATAGTTTTTTATATCAAATCAAAACTTTTTTTTATTACACTAACACTTCAAATAAAAAAAATGAAACAAGACGATATTGAAATTAGTTATTGCTTTGTGGAAAACTATTTAAAATACGGTGATATGGCCGCCGCTACATTGTGGGTAGTTGATTTATCTTGCGAAAGAGATTTGAAAGAAAATCAATATTCAAAAGTGCCTGTGAAACCAGTAGCTCAACTTAATTTTTTTAAAAAAGAACTAGTCTATTCTAACAAAGCAAAAAAAGAAGTTATTTGTTTACCTTCAAACATTCGTGAACAATGTTCGCTTGAAGAAAACGTCATTAATTATTTGTATAAAGCCGAAATCAAAACAAGCAAAGATGACGTTCATTTTAAGAATAAAAATGGCAAAATTACTTTTAACGTGATCATAAATACAAAACAATTAAAACTAACTAAGAAAATTTTTAGAAACATATATTTTGTCAAGAATAGAAGAAATATAAACTAACGCTTATGCATATAGCAAACATAAAGTTTTAAATAATCAACCCATTTCTACCTTTAACGTACGAATGTTAAAAGACGAAGAAGAAGAATTCTTTTATACAGAACACGAAAGACTTGTTTCTGTAGAACCTATTATAATTAACACTATATATAAAGGCGGTCAAACTAAATCGTTCAATCACAACATGAAAAGAGCAGCTCAAGATTTAGTAGTACAAGAAACAAAAGAATATAAAAAAACCAAGCAAGAAGAAATTAAAATTGAAAAAAAAGACGAAGAAGAATAATAATTTTTTTATAAAAAACTACTAAAGAAAAAGGTGAACATTGGAGACTTTTACTTAAAGTGGACTCTAATCGTTTTTTTCGTTTTGACAGTTTGGGTACTGAAAGTTGTCTTCAACAAATTCCTAGTTTTTTAAGATACAACAGACATTTATTTGAAGCTGTAGAAGAAGTTAAAACTAACGTGCAAATTAACACTATCAACATTAACTATAATGAAATTGAAATTAGTTCTTACATAAGACAAACTCATCATTTCCCATACGAATGGACAGCTGACAATCACGAATTTTATTGGTTTACCAATTTTATTTTAAAATACTGTTCTATGACAGGAGAACAAAACATTTTGTTTTCTTATAACAAAACATGTTTTCAATGGAACAACAGTAGTTTATGTGGGGCTTTTGCAGCTTATTTTATTTCGCTCTTATTTAGCGAAAAAGATTACATATACAGCGGAAAAATTTATTTACATTTGTTGTGCAGACTGCTAAATTATCATTTTTTTGATGTTTCGACAGTTCATGCTTCTGAATTAGCTCAGATAAATCTTTTGCCATTTTTTAACTTTATTAAAAACAAATTGTTAACACACTTGGACTCTACAGCTAAACAACTCTTTGAAAAAGATATGAAACTACACCTCTATTTATAAGAAAACGAAAGACTGGAACGTAATCTATTGTTTATGAAAACAAAACAAATTCCAATCGAACATGACATATTTGAAGAGCAAGTTATTACAAATAACAAAATTAAAATTTTTTTAAAAGATGCCATGTTATTAAGAACCAATTACGAAAGTCAATGGGACAAATTATCTATACATGACGTTATTGCCATTCGAGATGTTATGAACGAAGAAAACCCATATTTAAAACAAAAAGAAGAAATGGACCAAATTTACTCCCTTAATTACAGAAGATTAAAAGATTTAAACAATTTCATAAATAATCCATCTGATGATGTCATGACTCAAAAACAAATAAAAAGCCGCATTATGATGAATTTGTTATAATCAAAAAAAAATGCAACGACTCGCTTTATGTCCAATAAAAGAAAAAACGTACGAAGAAATATGCGAAAAGTGTAATGGACTCAAGTTTTACGTATTTACAATAAAAGATCCAACATTTACAAAAGTATTACAAGAATGCGAAGCAAATATAATTAACGATGAAATTTGGCTACGTTACTTACCTAAAAACATAATGATACCAATTCAAACTGGCAAAAATATATGTAATCATTGTAACGGCAACAAAAAAGTATTATTTAAAAAAACAAAAACTTTCAAAGTCGTCAAGAATCAACAAGAAATAAACAATTTAATTTGTATTATGTTTTTATTTAAATATTTTTTGTATACAAAAAAATACATGTTTTTTTAATATACTTCAAAACTTTTATCTGGCGGCATATACGGGTTAAACTTGGGTACTACTGTAGGTGTGGTTTGCACTGATTTTTTAGATTTCCATGCTTTTCTTAATCCATATAACACTGAACCCACTTTTAAAGCGTTGGTTATATTTTGAGGTGTAACATAATCTGTTAACCCACGTGCGCGTAGAATACGTCGAGTTTTACGGATTTTAAGAGAGAGTCTTTTTCTTTTTATGGTTTTTCTTTTAACAACCATATTGATACCGAATCTTTTATAGCAGTAACAAAGTCTTCATATAGCACATCGAATTCTTTTTGATCTTTTATTAGTTCGTTGTTTAAATAATAATCATAAATAAAAACAACGTGTGCTGTATTATTTGAACGAGTTACTTTAATTTGATTGCTACCGCCCAAACGAAAGAATAATTTAAAATCACCCTTTACTGTGTTTAAACTACTATCTCCTTGAAAAGAAGTTATTTTTTTAGTTTCATAAAATTTCTTAATACAAGTTTTAAAATCCTTTTTTTTTTTATATTAATTTAAAAAAAATATTTTTTCTACTTATATATTTATTTTGTAAAAAAAATTAATAAAAAAACACTATTAATTTTTTTTTTTAACAATTTATTATTGGTAATTCAAAACCTACATATAAATCACATTTATTTACATGACTTATTGTATACAATTTAGAAATAACGTTATAGTCTATAATAAAGCCACCCAAAAAAGTAGAAATTTTTGCATGTCCAATTTTTTTATTTTCAGTGATCATTTGACACAAATATTCGTTATGATATTTAAACTTTAAAATATATTCACCGCAATCAGATACGTCTGTTCTTAAATTATTTAAAACTTTATCACCCATTTCGTTTAATAAAAATTTATAAAAATCCAAATCTTCCTCTATCAAAGTATAAAATGTGTTTACAAAACATATACTTTTTTATGATAACTTTTATGCTCTCTATTACACTTTAACATTTTTTTTATTAAGATTATCTTCTTAAACTTCTAAAAACATTTCCACCTCTATGCATCATATTGTTTAATCAACTATGTTGTTTAATTTTTTTTATATATAAAATGATATCTTTTTAAACGATTTTTACGTTTATAAATTCCCAGCAAACTCGCCATGGTTGGCCCATGCATGGCCCACTATCGGTGCCATGACTGGCCCACCATCGTCCGACAATCATGGCCCAATCCCAGTGTTGCACACCGTTTATTGCTTGGCCCATGCATGGCAGCCGTTCTTCGACTAGCGTTTAGCCGTTGTTTTGCCAGTGATCATTTTTACGCTACTTTAGGTTGATTTTATTTGCTTTTTAACATGTATTGCTATTTTTATAAATAAACAATACTTAAATAAATGCGAGATTGTAACTTAAGCAAGCAAATGCAAGATTTTAACTTAGAGATTTTAACGTAAAATAAGTAAGGAAGAAAAAGATAAAGCAGGGTGATATTTTAGCAGTACAATTTATATTACCAAATATTTTTATTTCAATAAAATATTCTTTCAATACAATACATATAAAAGTTAAACTTCTACAATAATTCCAACTTGATGCTTGCATGAGCTAACGTTTGATACTTCTCGATATATCTATATTTGTTGCCTGCCAAGCCCCATCTGAAAGATTTAGTAATTACAAAAGTTAAAAAAATAGCCAAAAGTCAAGAAATTGTCAAATAAGTATAAAACTGTAACGTAAATAACTAAAAATAAAGTAATTGCAAAACAAACTATACAAGTTAGTAATAACATTAAATAAGTAAAAAATATTTTTAAATATAATTCTTTATTCTAAATTATAAGTAATAATATACTTTTTTTGCACACTTTGCTAATAAGATCTTGATCTAGGCAGTGTTTGATGCTCTTCTCAAAACTTGACTTCCAATATTTTTGTATTTTCAAACCAATTTGTTAAAACTAATAAATTAAAGAAAGATAAACAGATTGAACTTGTTTACTCTAAAATAAATGTTATAATTGTATTTACTGTTTATACTTTTATATAATACTCGTCTTAAAAAATCTAACCTGTCCTGTTATTTGGTGTCAAATGAAATAAATCATGCAGTCGTATAAGTATATAACATAAATACTTTTAGAAATATAATTCAAAAGAAAAATATTTAAAAAAACCTTGTGAATATGCAACTTCTACTTTACTCTCTAAAAATTTAAGATTTTAAACCAATAAATTTCACAAATTACTTTTTTTCCACAAAGAAAAGCCTTAAAATGTTTGTTATCTCTCTCTCTCTCTCTCTCTATATATATATATATATATATATATATATATATATATATATATATATATATATATATATATATATATATATATATATATATATATATATATATATATATATATATATATATATATATATATATATAAATATATATATATATATATGAAGTGTCTTGGGCTACTATATATAAACTTACATTGTTTATTCAATAAATCACAACTCGTTGACTTCATGATAACATTAGATAATCATATTGTTCCAAAAAATACTCTAAACGAAATAAAACATATAAAAACTATAAATATAAATCAACTAAGTTTCATGAAACGCCATATATTAAAAAATATCTTACGTTGTTTATCCAATAAACCACAACTCAATGACTCCATAACATTAGATAATTATTTTGTTTTAAAAAATACTCTCAATGAAATACAACATATAAAAATATATAAGGTTTCTAAGGAAACCATATAAAAGATAAACCTTACTTTGTTTCTTCATTAAATCACAACTCATTTACTCCAAGATAATATTAGCTAACCCTGTTGCTTCAAAAATTACTTTTAATGAAATACTACTTATAAAAACTATAAATATATATAAACAAAATTTATGGGTATGCAACATAACAAAAACATCGTACCTTGTTTATTGACAATGAAGTTTCTTGAGATACCTTATACAAAAAATATCTTACGTTATTTATCCAAAAAATCACAACTCGTGGACTCCACGATAACATTAGATAAACCTGTTGTTGTTTTTTTAACTCTCTGAATAAAATATTACAAATGAAATCTATAAATATATATCAATAAAGTGTCTTGGGTCACCATAATAGAAAAATATCTTACGTTGTATATCCAACAAATAATTTTATTGACTCTATAACATAAGATAACCATGTGGTTCCAAAAAAGATTCTCAATTAAATACATATAAAAAATTAATAATTAAACTAATTATTAAACATTAAATAAGGCTTAAAAGCAAATAAAATATTATTCAATCATTTTATTTCATTTTATAGAAAATACAAAGTTAGGATCAGTAACAAACAATTATGTAACTGACAAAATCGTGACGACCTACAAATACTCACCATAAATTTGAAACAATATATAAACCAAATAGCAAATTAATAGTAAAAAAAAATAAATAATTAATAATAATAATACAGTAATAATAATTATAATAATAACAGTAATGGCTAACAAAAGTAAACAATAAAAATAACAATGTTAATTATAAATATAATAATAATAGCCAAACATTAACAATAAGTATATAAGTACTATCAGTAATAACTAACAACAGTAACAATAAGAATAACAATGTTAATTAAAAAAATGAAAATAAAACAATAACAATAGATTTATTATATATAACAATGACAAAATTGACAGAAAATATAAGACAACAATGACAGAAGATATAAATATCTTCTGCAGAAGACATTTATATAAATGTTAATATTAATAATGATAAGATAACAATGACAGAATATATAATTATATATTCTGTAATTGTTATCTTAATAAGATTTTTATCATTATTGATATTAAAAAGAAAATTTTTTGACAATAACCGATCTGTCATTGTTAAAACATTTTCTTTTCATTTATTTACAGCTATTAAGTTAAAAAAAATTAGAAATACGAATATAGATAAAAAGTAAATAGTAAATATTATTTCATATTCACATTATTATAAGTTAACGTGATGCTTATCCTTTTTAAACCTTTTTTAAAATGTTATAAAGTTGCACATGCGCAAAGAAAAAACTTTTATTTTATCACAATAATGGATTAAGCCTGGCACAAGATTGGCAAGATCGGCAAAGTTGGCCGATCGTCAAACAAGCATGGCCAACCATTGGTTAATGACTGGCATCACTGGCGCAGTGGTGTCGGCCATTAACTAATGAATCCCATGCATGGACCATGCATGGCAAGTTTACTGGGTTCTTCTAATTTTTTTTTGACTTGTAAAAAAAAACTTATATTTTTTTAAAAAAAACTTATGTTTTTTTTAAATAAAAAAATTTTTGTGTCACCCGACACTGCCCTTACTTATCCTGCCTTACCTAACTTGTTTTTTCTTAGTAGGCCTACTGTTTTTTTTACAACCGGTTGTTTCTTATCCTACTTACTTATTTACTTAGCCTTACTTACTTAGTCTATTTTTTTTGTCTTATGCCTTACTTATGCCTGCTCACCCAGTCGTACATACACGCACGTTCATACACCCTCAGGACTATAACTTGTTTGTCACAAAATTCTTTTATTTTACTTAATCTGTAGAGATTAACTATTTTACATAAAAATAGCTTTTTTTTTAAATGAATTTATTTAAATTGTCATTTTAACACTTTAAGCAGAGTTTTTTTTCTACACAGAGTTTTTTTTAAGTTGTTTATGCACATTTTTTAATTAAAAAATTCCCTACTTAATCCTTATTTAAAAAGCAAGATTAAAAGTTTCAAAATATAACTTGTTTGTCACAAAGTTCTTTTAATTTACTTAATCTGTAGGGATTAACTATTTTACATAAAAACAGCATTTTTTTAAATATGAATTCAAATGGCAATAACAAAACTTGTACGAAAAATGGCAGTTAAAGTAATTGAAACTATCGTTATAGACGATGACTAAGATTTAGAGTTTCAAGAAATAGATTTAACTGTCGAAGAGTTCATGAAAAAAATTGATGAAAAAACACAAAAACCAACGTTTCAGATAGAAAGAGCAGAAGAGCCAAAAGAATCAGTGCATTTTCAGGTGGATAAAAAAAAAGTAAGAATTTCTATACATTAAAAAATTTTTTTTTTAAACATGAAAAAAATATATTTTTTTAAATTTTTTTTAATTTTTTTTAGAAAAAAAGCAAATATAAATTTAAAAGAAGTCAAAGAAAAACCTATTTTATTTTGCAAAAATTAAAAGACGATTTAACTTCTTTTAACTTATACAATAATTGTAAATAAAAAAATATAACATATTTAAATAAATTTATTTTTTGTTTATATCTTTTTTCTTTTTTTTAATGCTGCATTTCTTTCGTGTTTTCGATCAATGTAAGCTTCGTTTTTGATATTTTCCATCGTTTTATTTTTTTACCAACGCGTCCCAATTTACGATTAGATTTGTTATCTTTATATATTTTTTTAGTTTTTCGTAAACATATTAATATATTTTTCCAATTGCTTGGTAACCCTCTATTTTCTGTTTGCGTATGTTGTGAGTTTCTTGTAGTACGTACAAAATCTACAGTAGCTTTTGATCTAAGTGTATATCTTGTGCGAGGCATTTATTTTTTTTTTTTTAAGTAAATCATATTTATGAAAAAAAAAATTTTTTTCTACAGATTATATTTTATAAATTAAAACCATGGAAAATGAAATAAGAAATATGTTAGCAAAATATCTTGAAGCTTATTAGACACAATTTGCTGTTTGTTTAAACATGAATACATACGTCATTCAAGCTATTGATAATGACTACAATAAAAGTTATGATAAAATAAACCGCGTATTAACTTTATATTTTCAAGTAAATCACGAAGAAAAATACAATCCGCAACTTATATTACGAGCATTAGAAAGATGGTTGAATGACGAAAAAACAAAAAAACACTTTTTATTAATTCAAATTTAATAAACATTCTTACTGAATTAAATGTATTGATAAAAAACCTTGTGGAGGAACCCATGGTGATTAATTAATTTTTTTTTATGAATATTGTTTTAACTTGTAATTTTTTTTTTAGATTTATTAATTAAAAATAAAATAGAAAAAATTATAAAAGATGTTAACAATGCCATCAACAAATATGGCAAACCATCTAAACAAAATGTTAAATTTATCGTTTCATACGAAATCATGTTTGTTGATGGCAATTCCGTCTTTAATTTAAAAAACGTTAATATAACCGATGAAAAAGCTGAATATGAAGAGGATGAATATGAAATGGACGTTGATTATGAAACATGAAAAGTATGATGAAAATGATGACGATGACAATGAAGAATATGATGATGATAATGATGATGATGATGATGATGATGATGATGATGATGATGATGATGATGATGATGATGATGATGATGATGATGATGATGATGATGATGATGATGATGATGATGATGATGATGATGATGATGTAGAAGACATGGAAATAGACAATATTGACTTTTTTTAACTCAAAACTTTATTTACATAATTTATAAATTATATATATTTTTTAATATTAATGTGTTTTATTATATAAAATATGTATGAATACTCTTTAGCAATTAAAAAAAATGGCAGAATCGAAAAGTAAAGAATATTGCTATTATTGTAAACTACCCATTAATATTGATGAATTTCTTAAACATCAACAAAAATGTTGTACGATTCAAACTTGACTGTTTTGAATGCGGTAAAAAAATAAATATAGAAAACACCTGGGATCACGAATGCGAATTTCTTTTTGAGGTAGAACAAGTAAATCCAGAAGTAAACAAAACAAAGTTGTGTATGATTTGTCAAAAACTGTTACCTAAAAAATTGTTTGATGAGCACGTTAATGAATGTTGGAATCGCTTTGAAGAAGCAAAGAAAAGCATCATGAACAAACAAAGAGAATTTTTAATGGACCAAAAAAAAGTTTAGCTTTTTTAAACATGTCTACAAACGCCATTTTAAACAGTTTGGAAAAGATTAATACTCAATTAAACGGTCTCATACAACGTATAGACAATATGGATGCGGAAAAGGAGAAATTTATGGTTAAAGTCAAAGTGGATAAAGAATTACAAGAAAAAGAATTTGAAAACATCAATCAGGAAAACATCAAAATGAAAAAAGAAATTGAAGAAAATTTTAGCAAATTAAATGACAAAATGTTTAAAAATCCTGTCATGCGCGATAAAATATTTTTAGAGTTGGATCAAATGGATTTAAGGTTATTATCTAACGAGCCCTTCTATACTCAACCTACTTATTCTGCTGAAGGTTATTTATATCGATTACAAATTTACGGTTACTACGATAAAGAAAATGTCATGGCTATTTATTTTCAATTAATGCAATCTTCAATGGATAACACATTAAAATGGCCGTTTACAAAAAATGTACTTTGTACAACTAGAAATAACGGTTTTTGTATTGAGAAAAACATTGCTTCGTATAGCGAACCGAACAAAAAATGCTTTGAAAAACCAACGCAATCGTTCAACATAGCTGTCGGAACAATTCATTTTGCAGCCCATCAAGAACTCACAAATTATATTATAAATAATAAACTTATTATACGCGTTTCTTTACTTTAATTTTTTTTTTGTAATGTTAACTCTATTTGTACTTTGTATTTTTAAAAAAATTTTTTAGATTCATAACAAACAATGGACTTGAACAATCTTATTTTGAGAGAAATGGCTGATTATATTACGACACTTGACGTAAAAACATTGAAAATGATTCTACAAATTCCACATGGTATCAGTGAAAAAATTGAAGACGGTATAGATTTTATGGATTATATAAGACAAAAAAACTTTATTTACAATAATTTTGAATACGAAACACTGGAATCTAAAATAAATCTTTTATTGAATCTTTTCAACGAAATTGGAAGAAAAGACATTTACAAAAAGTTTAGTAAAAAAATTGCTAAACCTCCCTCGTATGAAGAAAGCATATCACCACCTCCTTATGAAAAAATCGTTGAAAACCAACCTTATTATC